GCAAGTGGCAAAAAGTTCATCAATATGTTAATTACTAAATCATTAAACACTTAAAAAACCCCTTTAATTTACATTGATTTTTAGGACTCATAACTGACTTTTCTCTTTAGGTTTAAGCTACTCTAAACAAATGATACACAGGAATGAAGCTTTTTTAAAATGCAGAATTAGTGTTGCCAGGTGTCCTTTATTTCCGGAGGCACCACAAATTTTTAAGGATTGTTCTTTGGTCTAACACAACATACCCCACAAGACATAACAGTTTCCCCTTGTTAAAAACCAAACCAAACCCCCAAATCACATCTCCATCATATGCTACAGAGGAGGCAAGAATCCAAAACGTCAAGTTTTGACATTCTCTGCCAATAATCAGTGCAACTTCATGTTACTACAGAACATTAGAATACTATATAGAACATTAGAATACAGTAATTCATATGCATATATTCAAGTTTACTTATCAAAAGAACAAAATTCTAGGTGGCCGACATTTTATCCTGGTTGTGTCTATAACTCTTGTTCCCCATGCCTTTAGACCAGGTATGTCCAACAGGAAGATCGCGATCTACCAGTAGATCGCGGAGGGGTCAGAGGTAGATCACCAGTGCCACTTGGTCTCCTGGTTTGCTGGACAGGTGTTTGGGTTTTTTTGGATGATTGTTTGGTGCTATTTGACCAATACTTGACCTACATTTAACACAAATAACTCTGAATAAAAGTTAAAGTTATTGAGACAGTTAAAGAAAGTTATAACTCAGTTAAAAATGTTTGCAGTTCTTTCTGGATCTTCGTCTCTCTGTTTTGTTTTTGCTTATTTTGCTTACCAGTAAATGACAGAAGGTGCATTATAAATGGGTGGTGGGTGGTGGTGGAACCCAACTTTAGTGGGTTAAAATCTAATTTGAAACTAATTTGAAACTTTATTTTCATGGTGGTGGACAATGTTCCCTCTAAGTTGTGGAGTTTTGTGTGCAAAAATTCTACTTTGTGAGCGACTGGCATTACAGTTGTGAGCAAGTGATTTGACTATTGCATAAATTAGTTTGCTCTGAAGCCATCCTTCCTGAGCTAAGAAAAAAATGTGTGAGCCGGAGGCTAAAAAATTGTGAGCTAGCTCACACTAACTCAGCTTAGAGGGAACACTGGGTGGATCACCAGCACTTTTGGCCAGAAAAAAACAGATCACATGCCTGCTTTAGACCTATCCGGTAATGGTTCTCTTAGATAAAAATAAATGTAATATTTTGGACAGAAAAGAAATAGATGACTGTCTGACTGTTACACATAAATGTTACACTTCATGGCACAAGCACATAAATTTGAAAGAGACTCAGCTTCGGCTGTGGGACGTGGGCAGAGAGGTCTGTATCTAAGCCTATTCAGAGCGAGGCTCCCTCTAAGCTGTGGAGTCTTGTGAGCAAAAATGCTACTTTGTGAGTTACCGGCATTAAAGTTGTGAGCGAGTGGTTTGGCTCCTGCATAAATTAATTTGCTCTGGAGCCCTCCTTCCTGAGCTAAGACAAAAATGTGTGAGCCGGAGGCTAAAAGACTGCAAGCTAGCTGACGCTAACTCAGCTTAGAGGGAACGCTGATTCAGAGTATGGCTCCTTAACAATTTAGGGAGCACAGATACCACCCTCTACCAGGATTGCCGGGCACCTGCTGGGGTCAGCCCCCACCCCCCAACCACTGCTGATCAACTGGCTAGTGGGGGGGGGGACTAACTGACAGCGGGGGAAGGTTTAGACTGGTATCGCAGTGAAGTCACTGGGGATGCAGTGACATCACTTCCAGTGTGCACTGGAAGTGATGTCATTGTGTCGCTGGCCGCATGAGATGCTCTGGTATTTGGGCAAAAACTCTATTGGAAGAAAAGGCATCTGCCATAGAGTTTTTGCCTCAGTACGAGAGGTGTCCTGTGTCACCACCCCCAATGTCACTTCCGGTGCACGGCCTAGGCCTCCCCTCGCTGCGGGGAGGCTCCCCCCATGCCAATTGCTTACAATAGAGTTTTTGCCGCAATACCAAAGTGTTCTCTGTCACCACCACCAATGTCACTTCCGGTGCACGGCCTAGGCGTCCCCTCGCTGCAGGTAAGCTCCCCCCCTCGCTGCAGGTAAGCTCCCCCCCTCGCTGCAGGTAAGCTCCCCCCCCCCCCCCAACTCCCACGCGGGTCAACCCTCAGCTCCACAGATATGGAAGTAGGACTTCAGTGTCAGCATGCTTGCCGCCCGGACAGATCTGAGCCTTGGCGTGGCTCACTTTTTAAAGAAATTGTGTAGCATCTGACACCACTGTCACTGGTTGCCTGTTAAACAAAAGCACTGCTCCGACGATGGCACTGAGTGGAAGGACACTTCACTGAAATTTCAGGTGAATCCGCATCACCAGGGGGAACAGAGGGCAATCCTGCTGCGAAGACTCCTACGACCCCTGCTAGAGTAGGATGGCTCTGGCCAAAAGACAGAGGTCTGGTGTTTTTCGGTGCACATTCTACCAAGTGCTCATCTTGCACTGAGACATGAAAGTGGGCTGCCATGGACCAAAGTGCGTAGATTGCTCCTTTTGACCTTTGTCTTTGGGGAAGGCCAGGGTGGTTATCATGGCACTTGCTCTAGTCCTTTGGTGTTGCTTAGCTGTTTATTTTCATAAACAGAGCAAGAGTGTGACTCCTCTGAACTGCTCCCAAGTGAAACTTTGTACTTTCAGTCTGATCCACTGGCAGTCTTTGTGTTGGCATGGGAGGGTTTGTGCAGCGGAGAAGGTAGATTTTTGTGTGTGTGTATCTCTATCTACCTACCTACCTACCTACCTACCGTCCTCTATCTATCTATCTATCTATCTATCTATCTATCTATCTATCTATCTATCTATCTATCTATCTATCTATCTATCTATCTATCTATCTATCTATCTATCTATCTATCATCATTGAGGCTACAGACATTTAAGATCCCATCCCCCGGTATCTTACACCACAAAAGTTGGCACATATACCTAAATCAGCAAGTCCGCTAAGCTGGAAAAAATATGGGAATGTTTGAGATTATCTTCATTGCTGGCTACATTGTTCCCACATCAAAAAAAATTTGGGAACAGATACTTAAACAAATCAAAACTATAACAGGAACTGAACTTTTCCCTACCCCAGACCACTTATTTCTTAATAGCTGGAAACCTAGAAATTACCCTTCTTCCCTCTTTGACACCATTTCAATTCTTTTGTTCACTGCTAAAACCGTGATAGCCTCACGCTGGAAAAGTACATTAATCCCAGATTTATAATTATGGCACAAAAAAGCTATGGTACCAATACATTATGGCAACAATAACCGACAAGCTATTCTATCTTGATTCTCAAACTCCCTCATCCAAATTTGTTACAACTTGGTTTTCCATTATGGAATAATTAGTACACCAAGATGGAATCCCCAATGTGATTGATGCTCTATATCTGTGATCTTATCTTAATGAAATTGATGGATCAATATGTTTTAGGTTTATGTCATATGTTCATCTCATTAATGTATGCTGTACTTCTGATGTTATAATCTTCGATTTTGTTTTCTTAATCCGTATTGCGGTTTTGAAAATATACAATTACAAGTAATTTTTTTTTTAAGCACCTGTCCTTCCTGCCCCTCCCCCACCTGCATACTTACAACAGGGAGAGCTGGTTCATCCTCCTAATTAAGGCATTTTTCTTGTTGACCAGCATGAACCATTCTTGCATCATGGCCTCCTCTTCTTCAGTGTTTCTCCCTATTAAAAAAAAAAGCAGGGGAGACATTATTTAGTTGCGATAACACAAGACTTTATACTCTGGCGACAACACGCCGAATATTCAGCTTTCTCTGATCTCAGAAGGTTCGCTAGAGGATGACAAATGAGATAAAGCAAGGTATGGAGAGATACTGTCGGATCGCAGCCCGTATCTGTTAAAAGGCCTCAGTTGGGATACAAAAAGCCAGGGGTGTTTTACCACCTCTGCGGGGGGCGGGAGGGGATTTCAGCACCTTGACCATTACAGTCTCCTACAATCACTGCAACACAACTCTCAGAGTTTGAAACTCCCACCAGAACACTAGGGGCTGAAGGGTCTCCTTCACCATCTCATCCTCACTTCTGCCTGCAGCTGACCTCTGGCCACCCTGACCTCACCCCCTCTGCCCACCCCTCTCTCCTGCCTGAGCAGGAGCCTAAAAAGCTAGAACTCCAAGTCCTCACTTCCTCATTGTTCAGATATCCTGAGTCATTGGCATGCAACGCACCATCCACATGTCCTGGCTCCCTGCAACTGGCATTCATATCTATCTACTGTCTTTTTATCCCATTCATGGGATGGCTTTCATGGGTCTCCTCGCGGGAGAGAGAGTGCTCAGCTCGAGGTCGCCTACTGAGCTTCCTGCCTGCAGCGAAATTCGAATGCAGTTCTTCCCAGTCTTCGGCAATGATTCCTCACCACCTAACCCAAAAATCAGGCCGGTGACTGAAGCACAGATTTTACACACAATTCAAACCACCACCACTGATTTCTGCTGGTGTACGCTAATATTACAATTTGAGAAACACATTAAGGAGAAGATATTAGAAATCTTGAATACTGCCACCATCGTCTTAAATTTCTACTGCACCCATTTAAATTTCTACTGCACACCAACACATTTATCCAGTGACTGGTTCTAATGAAGCAAGATTTAAAGCCCTACAGTGGCTTGGGACTGGGGCATCCGAAGGACCGTCTTCTCCCATATGTTCCTGCCCAGAAACTAAGATCACAGAGAGAGGAGCTCCTGACTGTCCCATTGACCAAGGAAGCTTGTTTGGTGGGTACACAAGAGAGAGCCTTTTCAGTGGCAGCCCCATGGTTATGGAACACCATACCTCAATTTTTAGGAGGCAGCTGAAGACAGTTTTATTTACAACAGCATTGGATTAGTTCTTCTGCCTACCAGAGAGCTAGTTTGGTGTAGTGGTTAGGAGCGCGGACTCTAATCTGGGAGAACCGGGTTTGATTCCCCATTCCTCCACATGCAGCTGCTGGTGTGACCTTGGGTCAGTCACAAGTTCTCTCGGAGCTGTTCTCTCAAGAGCAGTCCTCGAAAGAGCTCTCTCAGGCCCACCTACCTCACAGGGTGTCTGTTGTGGTGAAGGCAATTGTCAGCCGCTCTGAGATTCCTTCGGGTAGTGAAGGGCTGGGTATAACTCCAGTCTCTTCTCTTCTTCTACCAGAAGTTTTAAATGATTGACTTTCATTACTGGTTTTTATGCATTTTATTGTATTTTTTTATTACTTACACTGTAAGATGCCTTCAGGTCTTATAAGATAGGAAGGTGGCTAATAAATGTTCTAGATAAATAAGTTTGTGGAAGTGATTTTTTTTTCATTAGCCTCTCCCCTCCCTCTGTAGTCTGATGTGACTGATGAAACGCCACTGCTGGAGTGAAGGCACCCTTCAGAAAAGGATGTCGTGCGGCACAGGCGACTCAGCGGAAATCCCTTTTCTGTAAAACTAGCTTCTGTTCACAAAATGCTATACCCTTTGCAGAAGAGGGAGGGGAGACTCACCCTTCCTCTAACAAAGAACGCTAGAACAAAGTAAAAGTGGTAGTAGTAATTAAAGAATCATTCGTATGCTGCTTTCTGAGTGTTTGAAGTATTTCACAAGGATGATCTCAGCTACCCGTTTGACAGTCCTACAGAGTACGCCGACATTATTATCCTCACACTGTGGATGGACAGCTGAGGTTGATAAAACAGTGGCTTTCCTTACCTACAATGGTAGTGAATTTAAGTGGGCACTTCCTGTCTCACACATAATCATAGAACTATAGAGTTGGAAAAGACCTCCAGGGTCATCTAGTCCAACCCTCTGCACAGTGCAGGAAATTCACAAATACCTCCCCCCCACACCCCCACTGACCCATGTTACATGCCCAAGAAGATGGCAACCCCCCCCAACCCTCCAGGATCCTTGGCTTGGAGAAAATTGCTTCCTGATCCAAAAGTAGCGATCGTCATTTCCCTGGGCATGTAAGAAAGGGCCATGAGAACTAAGCGTTGATGCAATCCTTCCTGCCCTCCCTTCTCGTGATCTGCCTAAGCTCACAGAATCAGCATTGCTGCAGATGGTCATCTGGCCTCTGCTTAAAAACCTCCGAAGGAGGAGAACCAACCACCTCCCGAGGAAGCCTGTTCCACGGAGGAACTGCTCTGTCAGGAAGTTCTTCCTTATGTTCAACCAAAAACTCTTTCGATTTAATTTCACCCCGTTGGTTCTGGTCCGACCTTCTGGGGCAAAAGAAAACAACTCTGCACACATCCTCTATAATGACAGCCCTTGAAGTACTTGAAGATGGTTATCATATCACCCCTCGGTCGTCTCCTCTCCAGGCTAAACACACGCAGCTCCTTCAACCTTTCCTCATAGGACTTGGTCTCCAGATTCCTCACCACCGTCGTTGCCCTTCTCTGGACACGTTCCAGCTTGTCTATATCCTTCTTAAGTTGTGGTGGTCAAAACTGAACACAGTACTCTAGGTGAGGTCTAACCACAGCAGAGTAAAGCGATACCATCACTTCACGTGATCTATGGACCATACCATGCAGGAAACAGAAATTCAAAACTGAAGGAAAACTGATGTAATCTACCAACAGATGTCTCTTCTGATTGCAGGGTAATGCAAAAGGAAGCTTATCGATACAATCACTTAACCAAAGAGATGTACCACAGGGCTCTTTTTGTAGGAGGACCTCCTTTGCATATTAGGCGACACACCCCAAATGTAGCCAATCCTCCAAGAGCTTATAGTAGCCCCTGTGAGAAGAGCTCTGTAAGCTCTTGGAGGATTGGCTACAGTAGGGGTGTGTCGCCTAATATGCAAAGGAGTTCCTGCTACAAAAAGAGCCCGAACACCACATATATGGAAAGTGGTGGTGATGTCGTTCTCCACTCACAAGACCCAGAAGACAGAATGTGGGCCAGCATCATTCTTGTATAAAATGTGGGGAATATCAACAGTCACACATAAACAATCACAATTCCACATACATTTTTGACAATACCCCCTCAAATGTCTCATATTTCTCTGTTTCTCAGAGATACAGAAGCCAATAATGACAACCACATTAAGATAATTGCCAAGACTCACTTGTGGACTTGGGCATGCACAAAACGGTGAGGGTTGGTGAAGAGTTCGCATGCGAGAGTTGACATTTCTCACCATTGCCACAGGTTATAAAGCTGTCCTTTTGCTACCACATTTGAGGCGGCTTAGAATTCAAAACAATACAGGAGGAAAAAGAAAGGAAACTCAACCTGCGGTCACACACACTAAATCAGGGGTGTCGAACTCATTTGTTATGAGGGCCGGATCTGACATAAATGAGACCTTGTTGGGCCGGGCCATGTGCGTCATTAACATGTAACGCCAGGTAGCGGAGATATAAACTTTATAAAGGACACAAACACAAAGATTTTAACGTAAAATAAAAACATGCTTAAAACATTAACTCTGTAAGCTGCAAACCTACTTTTGATTTGCTGACATTCACCACAGAAATCTCATGCTCAGAGTTCTGAGTCCAGGACCCAGGTTTAAAACATGAAGTGGCTGAGCGATTAAGAGAGCCTGGCGAAGCAAGCTATGATGCAGCAGCAAAACTGGAAGCAGGAGATGCAGTTCCACTGTGGGCCTGATGGAAGCCCTCCGGGGGGGGCCTGATCCGGCCCCCGGGCCAAATGTTTGACACCCCTGCACTAAATAATCCACTTTCAATCCACTTTCAGTGCACTTTCCAGCTGGATTTTACTGTGTGAACGGGCAAAATCCAGTTGGAAAGTGGACTGAAAGTGGACTATTTAGTGTGTGTGACCGCAGCATCAGTTCCCAACCCTTAGATAACATAATGGTGACTTCAGATGATGGTCATGGAAAGGGTGCACCCAAATGGCAACCAATTACCATCAGTGTCCATTGAGGGAGCTTCACTATCTTGATTTTCCCTCTGGTTCGGTCAAGTTGAATGGATACTTTTGGAAACTCTTCTAGATGGGAAGAAGCCCAATGGCCGTTGTCCCCTCTGATGCAGCCAGGCAGGGCTCTTTTTGTAGAAAAAGCCCAGCAGGAACTCATTAGCATAATAGGCCATACCCAACAGCAGAAACTCATTAGCATATTAGGCCACACCCCTGACAGCACAGCTCATTAGCCCATTAGGCCGCACCCCCATGTTACCAAAAGTGTGGTCATCCAGCCACACCCACCTTTTGCTTCTTATTCTGTTTACCTTGTTTGTTGTCAAAACCCAGGGCTTTTTTTGTAGCAGGAACTCCTTTGCATGTTAGGCCGCACACCCCTAATGTAGCCAATCCTAATGAGTTTCTGCTGTTGGGTGTGGCCTATTATGCTAATGAGTTCCTGCTGGGCGTGACCAACTCAGGAGCCAGCTGGAACTCCGTTCCTGTGCGTTCCTGCCCAAAAATAGCCCTGCAGCCAGGTACACACAATGAAGGGGGATGTATTTGTGAATGGGGGGAGGTATTTGTGAATATCCTGCATTGTGCAGGGGGTTGGACAAGATGACCCTGGAGGTCCAACTCTATGATTCTAAACTGCCTTCCTCTGAATCAGACCATCGGATCATCAAAGTCAGTGTTGTCTACTCAGACTGGTTTCTCCAGGGTCTCAAGCTGGGGTATTTCACACCACCTATTACCTGAAGATGCCAGGGACCTTCTGCATGCCAAGCAGATGTTCTG